TTATATATCACTTCCCAGAAAACCTTAATCTTTGGGCACGTCCACCAAAGGTGAAAAAATGTACCTTCAGTTTCTTTACATTTCCAACATTTGTTATCGGGCAAGTGATAAATTTTCGCAAGCTTGACTGGGGTTATGTACCACCTGTATATCATTTTCATAATATTCTCTCTTAAGGCATTACATGCCGTAAATTTCATACCAGTGGTCCATAACTGTTCCCAGTCAGCAAACATAATGTTATGTCCTACGTCCTGTGCCCATTTAATCATAGCCGATTTTACCGTTTCATCTTGAGTATTCCATTTCAGCAGCAAGTTATACATTCTTGACAGATTCTTAGTATTGGGTTCTAACAATTCTGTTTCTAATTTCGATTTTTCCACCTGGAAGCCAATTTTCCTGTCTAATTTAAATGCCTCCATTATTTGATAATAATGAAGCCAGTCTCGCACTTTGTTTTTAATTTTTCAAAACTCTGCAATTTCAGTCTATCTCCGTCTTGTTCCAAAATTTCCCAATATTTCGGCCATTTGACCTCCATATTGATCCTTTTCAAGGCTTTCGCTTCCATTGGTGACAGCCACCTTGGGGTTTTATTTTCTAGCAAATCCTTATATCTTATCCAAACATTAAATAGCGCTTTCCTGACAATGTGGTTTTTAAATGCTTTGTGTGCTTTGACCTTATCATACCATAAATATGCATGCCATCCAAATACATTATTAAAACCTTCCAAATCCAAAATGTCAGTGTTTTCAAGAAGTAGCCATTCTTTCAACCAGCAAAAAGCTGCTGATTCATAATAAAGTTTAAGGTCTGGCAGGGCAAATCCACCTCTTTCTTTTGCATCTGTTAAAATTTTAAATTTTATTCTAGGTTTCTTGCCCTGCCAGACAAATTTAGAAATGTCTTTCTGCCACCTCTTGAAACAGTCCATTTTATCCACGATCTGCAAAGTTTGAAACAAAAACAACATTCTAGGCAATACATTCATTTTTATCGCAGCAATACGGCCTAGCAGTGAAAGCTTCAGGTTTGACCAAATTTCTAAATCTTTTTTCACTTCTGACCAACATTTTTCATAGTTATCTTTAAATAAATTCCCATTTTTTTGCTGTCATGTTAATCCCCAAGTATTTGACTTTCTTAACCACTGTTAACCCGGTCTCATTCTGAAACCTCTCTCTTTCAAAAGATGTTAAATTTTTCTCTAAAACCTTGGTTTTTGATTTGTTCAATTTAAATCCTGCCACTTGACCAAATTCTTGAATCAGTTCTAAAACCCTTTTTGTACTAGATTCTGGCTCCTGTAACGTCAGTACTAAGTCATCTGCAAATGCTCTCAATTTATAGTGTTTAGTTCCGACCTGTATGCCTTTCACCAACTGGTCCCTTCTAATCATGTTCAGCAACACCTCCAGGACCGAAATAAAGAGAAGAGGGGAAATTGGGCAACCTTGTCGTGTCCCTTTTTCAATTTTAAGTTCTTCCGTCACAACATTATTTACAATTAATTTAGCCTTTTGTTCTGAATAAATTGCACTTATACCATTCTCAAAACCTTGGCCTAACCCCATACCCTGAAGATTCTTCTTCATAAAATTCCAAGAAATATTGTCAAAGGCTTTCTCCGCATCTACAAATATCAACACTGCTTTAGTGTTTATGTTCACTTCTAATTTTTCCAAGATATCAATTATATTCCTCAGATTATCAGACAAGTGTCTTCTTGGGAGAAAGCCCGCTTGGTCCTTATGAATCTCTTCCAACAGTACTTTTTTAAATCTCTTCGCCAAAATATCTGCAAAAATTTTGTAATCCACATTAAGTAATGATATTGGGCGGTAGTTCTTTAATTGTGTCTTTTCAGCCTCTGTTTTTGGTACAAGTGTAATATATGCTTCTTTCCACGACTCTGGTGCCCTCCTCCCCTCCATTATTTCGTTGCAGACCTCTTTCAATGGTTGAATTAACCAGTCTTTTAAAGATCTGTAGTATCTAGAGGTCAAACCGTCTGGGCCTGGAGATTTACCCAGTTGCATATTTTGAATGGCACCTTCTATTTCCTGTTCCGTTATTCTATCATTCAAAATTAGTCTCTTTTCTTGAGATATTTTTGTAATCCATTTGTTTTCAAAAATTGATCTAAGTCTGTTTCTTTCACAGGCCCTTGAGTGTATAGTCTTTTAAAATACTTCTGGAAACAACTTCTAATTTCTGCAGGGTTCTGTATATTCCTTCCATCCACTTCTAAATTTGTAATCGTATTTAATTTTTGTCTCTTTTTCATTTGCCATGCCAACAGTTTACCACATTTATTAGCCGATTCAAAAGTCTTTTGTCTCATTTGTTTAATTTTCCATTCTACTTCCTGATTCATTATTTTCATATATTGAACTTGATATAACTTTAACTCTCTCAGAGTCTCTTGAGATTTGGGATTTACTCGCAATCTTTTTTCACATTCGTTCATTTTATTCATAATTTTATCCTTCTTCTCATTTTGAGTTCTTTTCTTTATCGCATTCTGTTGTATTAAGAACCCTCTCATCACAGCTTTACTTGCATCCCAGATTACTCTTTTCTCCACGTTGGAACTAAGATTTATCTCAAAGTAATCTTTTAAGGTTTTTTGGGCCTTCTTAAGAAATTCTTCATCTCTGAATAAGGTGTCATTCATCTTCCATCTGAAGGAGCCAGTTGGCATTAGTCTCATTTCCATCTTAACAGCATTATGGTCGGAGCAAATTTTGGGCAGATTTCCACCTTTTTGTTTTTGGTGCCATTCCTCTAGTTATCCAAATTTGGTCAATTCTTGTCCAAGTCATTTTGGCTTCAGAAAAGAAAGTTCCTTCTTTTACCAAGGGGTTTCTAATTCTCCAAATGTCCACTAAATCCAAGTTGTCTGTCATGTCAAAAAAGGTTCTCGGTAGTCTACCATCTTTGGTGACTACCTGTTTTGGTGCCTTGTCCATATAGGTAGATACCACTCCCTTCATATCTCCCCTCAAAATTATGTTGTAATCCATATGGTCCATCAAGGTCTCATGCAACTTCTTAAAAAAAATCGGATTTCCCATCATTTGGTGCATAAACTCCTACGATCAAAAATTTTTCTCCCTGTGTTTGAATTTCAATTGCCACAAATCTTCCTTGGTCATCCTTGAAAACAAATTTTGGTGATAAATTATCTTTTGCGTAAATCACAACTCCTCTCTTTTTAACTTTATCCGACGAAATAAATTCCTGACCAAGTCTTTTGTTTATTAACAATTTCCTGTGTAGTCTCGTTATATGTGTTTCTTGTAAACAAATTAAATCTAATTGTTCCTTTTTTAATATATGAAATACTGACTTCCTCTTCTGAGGGGAATTCAAACCCCGACAGTTCCAAGTTAAAAGTTGCAGGGCCATGATGTTATTGTTTTGATACTCCTCCTACTGCACCTAGTGCCTGTTCCTCGTCCGTCGGTGGTATCCCTTCTTTCGAGCGATCTTTTGGTTCCAGAGATAGTTCTTTTTGTAAGTCTTCTCCGTGGTCTCTGTAGAATTTATCTTTGTCGTCTTCCGATCTTATTTTCCTCTTCTTTCCCTTGTAGGTAAAAGACAGGCCTTGGGGGAGTTCCCACCTAAAATTGATGTTGTTCCTTCTCAGCAGGCTAACCAGATCTTTATATTTTAATCTGAGCTCCAGAATATATTTCGGAATGTCTTTGAATATTTCCACCCTGTAGTAAAGTTGCCCCCAGCCGCTCGCTCCTCCCTCACCTGCCTTGGCTCACCGGCCAGATCAGGTTTCTTGAACAGGGCTGGCAGGCAACGTCACGTTATACAGAAGCAGGACAAAATCACACCGGTAGAGCTGCCACCACTCCCTCTGTTCCGGGGAACCTAGAGTCACAACCCAGGGAGTAGGCTGTACCCTGTTGTTACTGGTTATCCCCACTCCACAAGTTGAATCCACAAACTTGCAGACAGAAGTTTTACGGTAGAGCGTAACTAAGCGTAAGGCTAGGACTTAGACTTTCCCCCCGGAAAGGCACACAAACCAAAACAGTTTCTTAATTAAAATTTATTTTAAAAGAACATAAGAAAACATGCTAAAATAGCAGGCACATCTTTAGTAAGTTACAGACAAGAAAAATAAAAACATTGTGAAATCTAGCTAGCTTGCATACTCACAACTAAAGCACAAAAGGAATAGATAGAGTCCTTTCAAGGTTCCGCAGTTCAAAGGCTTTCGCAGATCTCCATCACAAAGGATGTAAGGACAGCTACTTAGATGGAACATTAGCAGCCGGGCGATTTGCGGATTGCAGAGCGCACTTTCTCAGCCATTTCCCAGATCTTTTATCCCTGAATTACACGTGGCGTCGGAACCCCCAAAACCAATCATAACTCTTGATTATTTTTAAATTCTCCAATGACCGGCTTGTGGACTAATCAATCTAACTTCTGGCAGCTGGGCCAATTAAGAACCCAGAGCCTCAATCAAAGGTTGTCCTCCCTTCCTTGGCGCCTCTGCAGATGCACATTCCCAGGCCATTAAGGCCAGATAACATCACTAACGGAATGCGCAGAACTTGGACCCAGGTGTCAAGCCTTCCATTAAATCAGGGGTTTCCTCTCCCATAATAAAACTTTCACACCCTGGGTGCCTGTTAGTCTGGGGTTAAAGGGACAGAACTTATTTCCCATGGTCCTTGTGGCTTGTTGGTTACCCACAAGGCCTCACTCTCATTGCTTGACCAAGGAACAGCTTCTAAATGATACTAGCTTTACTACACCCTCCCCCCTAAGATGAAATTACAGGGTTAAGTCCCGCAATTTCATCCAACAACATATATACATTGAGGTAGTTGGACCAGTCTGGGGGGGCAGCAGCTCCCAAAATCATTAGCACCATCCCCCAGTCTGATATTTACACAGTTTCAAGACAATAATCACCAATAGTTTTTTTTCCAGCTGAGGATTCAGGCAAAATACACCTTAATACTTCATTTAACAGATTGATACATCCTAGACAAGGTATCAGCAACCACATTGTCCTTCCCAGCAATATGTGTGACGTTAAACTGGAAGTCCTGTAAGGCTAGACTCCACCGAAGCAATTTCTGGTTGGATGCCTTTACTCTCTCCAGCCAACAAAGTGGGGAGTGATCCGTTTGAACTTCAAAGATGTTGCCCCACAGATAAGAACGCAGTTTGGTCAGAGCCCAGACCAAAGCAAAACACTCTTTCTCAATGGCTGAATAATTTTGCTCCCGGGTTATCAGTTTTTTACTCAGGTAAACCACGGGACGCCAATTTCCCTCTTGATCTTCTTGGAGCAAAACTGCTCCTAGCCCGGTCTGACTGGCATCAGTTTGCACCACAAACGGACGTCTCTGATCCGGGGCCAACATAACTTGGGAACTCACAAGGGCATGTTTTAACAGATCAAAAGCCCGTTGACACTCTTCAGTCCAATCTACTTTGACTGGCAAAGATTTCTCACAACGGTTGGTAAGAGGAGCAGCTAATGTGGCAAACTGATTGACACCCTTCCTATAATAATTTACCAACCCTATGAACGACTGCACATCTTGTTCCACCACGGGGCGGGGCCAATCTTGAATGTATTGCACCTTGGCCTCTAGAGATTTGACGTTTCCTGACCCCACCCTGAATTCCAAGGGAATCACTTCTCCTTGAGCAAACTGACATTTATGTTTCTTTCTGGTCAGGTTTGGATCTTGCACTCGAGCCAAGACACTCTGCACATGCTTAAGGTGTTTTGGCCACAAATCAGAAAGAATCAACTTAACTTCTTCCAATCCCTCCCATTTTCCTCTGAGCATACCCAAAGAATCTTCTAGGGGTTTGCCAAAACCCAACACAAACTCTGAATTCCTTGAGTAGATTTCAACCAAAACTCCCAACAGATTTTGAACACAGGGTTTGGGCAAAATGGAATTCCAAGCAAACCTGAAAACATTTTTGCTCATAACATCATCATCCTGTTTCCTAGGACTGAAATTCTGTAAAAGACCCACCAAATTCAATTTCTTCTTTACACAAACATTTGCATCATAAAACATCTTTTGAAAAGCAATAAACACATCATCAGGGTCTTTAAAGTCCTTGAGCTGTGGGCAAAGAAATTCTTTGTCAGCCCCAACAGAGATAAATTCAGTCTCACCAGGGGGGAGTTTCTGCAGCTTCCCGGCAACCTAGGAGAGAATGACCAAAAAACTCAAAACTTCCTACAGCGGCTTGACTGGGCTGGGCTGACCCCCCTCCTTCTGCTTGCCTCTCAGCTTTTGGTTGATAGGGACCGCTTGCATAGTTCACAGTCTCTGCTACTAGGTTTGCTGCAAGCTGCTGCAACGGAACTGCAGATTTCAAAGCATTTCCCCACAATGAAATTTGCACTAACTTGGGGTTCAAGAACTGGAACAAAAGGATCCCCCATACAATCCTTGGAGGTAAGCACATCAGCAGTTGCAGGTTGGGGAATTAAATTTCCCCACCAGAATTACTCTTCTGGAAGTCAGGCTGGTTCCATTGGGACAAAACTGAGTCTTTTGGTAAAGTCCCGGTAACAGAGTCCATACTTTGAAAAGAAGGCACAACAACTCGATGAACCCTGGGGATTACGTCAGACGCTGAGCAGGGCCAATTAACACAGGGAGTGGCAGTGCGTATTAAGCCAACCCTCCTCCCAACCAATTTCTCAGATACTGCAGTCTCAACAGTCCCAGTAGTTTCGGGAGTTATAGCATCAGGCGCTAGACTTCCACCTTCCCCATCCGGGACAAGATTCTCCTCAGCCCTCAAACCTTGAGGTGTTGTTCCCCAGTTCTCCATCCCCTGTACCTGGGTGGGTGAAACCTTAATGGAACAAATGTTGACTGTATGTTGTTGCTGGTGAACCCGGTATCCCAAATCATTACCAACCAGGACAGGACTTTTACACATCTTCGGGTCATGCACTATAACTAACATTTTTCCTTGAAAACCCATATACGAAATTGGAATAATAGCAGTAGGTTGAAAAATCTCTTTCACCCCATAGGGACTAATTTTCATGGGTTTATCCTGCATTTGTATAGGCATAACCAAATCACGGGACACACTGGTAATATCTGACCCTGTGTCTCTGAAAGAGTTCACAGCAATCCCGTTGACTTCAATGGGCGCTGTAAACTTCGAAATAGCCCACTTCACATGCGGCGCATTTGGATCAGCACTGGTACCCACAGGTCCCACTATAACAGCATTAGAAGTGGCTTCAGCTGTTCCAGGAGCCATAACGTCAGGAGCTGCCACACCCTTCCCATCCAGGATCGGGGTTTCCCCAGCTCCGGCTTTTTGTTGTTCCCCTTCCCAGTCCTCTTCCTGCCGCTGAATCAGGTGCACGGCAGGGGTGGAAGTGAGAATAGGAGGCTTTTGGCTACCCAGCTGGGGGCAAGCCGCTTTTACATGCCCCGGTTGTTTACAAAAGAAACACAGTCCAGAGGTTGGGGACAATTTGGTACGTTCTCCCCCTACTACAACAGAGTCTTTTGCAGACGTCAGGAAACCTTTGCTTTGTTCCTTAATGGGGGGAGCAGACTTCCCCATTGAAACTGCTGGTTTACACACATTACTTGGTCCCTTGTTGGTCCAATGGGAGCGGTTAAGCCTAAAAGACTCAGCAAAGGTGGTGGCTTCCGTTAGAGTTCGTGGCTTTTGGTCTGCAACCAGACTAGCAATTTCTGAGGGCAGGGAACGCATCAGTTGTTCAATTAATATAAGCTGTTTGAATCCTTCAAAGTCCCCCACCCCTTCGGCGGCAAGCCACAGTTCGAAGTTTTGAGCCATTTTTGCTGAGAAAACTGCAATATTATCACTGAGCCCCGACTTCTCTACTTTTCGAAAAGCCTTTCGATAATTCTCGGGGTGCAATCCATGCCTCTGCATGACTAACTTTTTGAAACTTTCATAGTCATTGAGTTCAGATGAGGGGAGGTGACCCATAAGCTCTGCCAGGTCACCACAAACTAGGGGCGCAGAACAGCCATATACATAGTTGGAGCAACTCCCATGTCCTTGCAAGTTACTTCAAAAAGAGTCAGATAACTCAGAACGTCAGTGGGGGGCTGATATTTCGGGAAGACCCTCCAATTAAGAGTACTCAAAGACAGTCCTGGAGGGGACTGTTGGCGGTGATTTCCCCCCCTCACTGGAACAAGTTCATACCTCGGCGCAGGGTTTTGAAGCACCGGCCCTTCCGGGCGTACCGGTTCAGCTGCCGTTGCGAATCCACGCTTGGGTCGCTGAAAAAACTCCTCCTCTTCCTCTGCCACATACCGTCGCACCGGCACGTACACCTCTTGAGCTCTGACTGGCGAGTAGACTCTACCCGGACTGAGTGACCGCTGTCTCTCCATCCGGCGGACGTCGGGCGCGCCCGCTTCTCGGCGGCAGTCTCCCACAGTCACCTCCTGCAGCTGGTGCGGCAGATCTTTGTAGTCATACGCCATCCGGCTGACTCTCGGCCCCATCAGGATGGATTGGCCCATTTTTGGATGTTTCTCTCGGCAACGGAATCCACCATTCACCGGATCTCGCATCCACTCCACATCATAACCCTCTGAGAAATCCATCTCTTTAGGCTCTGTGTAAACAAGATAGTTCCCCCTCGGACGTGTGGAGGCATCCACTTCCTCACGAGGCGATGGGGGTTGGGTAACTGGCGTGCCCCTTGCTCTTTCCGCAATACAGGACTCTCGCCGACCCCTCCGGACAGTACTTAACTCGCTGGCATCCACCAGCTCCCCCTCTGAATCAGGGTCTTCTGAAAACCAGGGGGGCGGATTCCGCTCTGGGACTTAAAGCTTGGGGGGGATTGGTCTCCACAGGAAGGGAACTGCTTCCTCCCACCAATCCCCACTGGTCTAATGTCTGCATGGTGCATTCCTGCGACATCGCGGCATCCATCTCCTAACTATCTCTAGCCAAAAAAATAAACTACCTGTAACTCCCAAAAGATACGTGCCAATTTAAAAAAAATCAAAGTGCCTTTCCGCAGGGAAGCTCGATCCCACCGCTGCCACCATGTAGTAAAGTTGCCCCCAGCCGCTCGCTCCTCCCTCACCTGCCTTGGCTCACCGGCCAGATCAGGTTTCTTGAACAGGGCTGGCAGGCAACGTTACGTTATACAGAAGCAGGACAAAATCACACCGGTAGAGCTGCCACCACTCCCTCTGTTCCGGGAACCTAGAGTCACAACCCAGGGAGAAGGCTGTGCCCTGTTGTTACTGGTTACCCCCCACTCCACAAGTTGAATCCACAAACTTGCAGACAGAAGTTTTACGGTAGAGCGTAACTAAGCGTAAGGCTAGGACTTAGACTTTCCCCCCGGAAAGGCACACAAACCAAAACAGTTTCTTAATTAAAATTTATTTTAAAAGAACATAAGAAAACATGCTAAAATAGCAGGCACATCTTTAGTAAGTTACAGACAAGAAAAATAAAAACATTGTGAAATCTAGCTAGCTTGCATACTCACAACTAAAGCACAAAAGGAATAGATAGAGTCCTTTCAAGGTTCCGCAGTTCAAAGGCTTTCGCAGATCTCCATCACAAAGGATGTAAGGACAGCTACTTAGATGGAACATTAGCAGCCGGGCGATTTGCGGATTGCAGAGCGCACTTTCTCAGCCATTTCCCAGATCTTTTATCCCTGAATTACACGTGGCGTCGGAACCCCCAAAACCAATCATAACTCTTGATTATTTTTAAATTCTCCAATGACCGGCTTGTGGACTAATCAATCTAACTTCTGGCAGCTGGGCCAATTAAGAACCCAGAGCCTCAATCAAAGGTTGTCCTCCCTTCCTTGGCGCCTCTGCAGATGCACATTCCCAGGCCATTAAGGCCAGATAACATCACTAACGGAATGCGCAGAACTTGGACCCAGGTGTCAGGCCTTCCATTAAATCAGGGGTTTCCTCTCCCATAATAAAACTTTCACACCCTGGGTGCCTGTTAGTCTGGGGTTAAAGGGACAGAACTTATCTCCCATGGTCCTTGTGGCTTGTTGATTACCCACAAGGCCTCACTCTCATTGCTTGACCAAGGAACAGCTTCTAAATGATACTAGCTTTACTACACACCCTTTTCTGATGAATTTCCAATGTTTTCCTGAAGTGTAGGCCCAAAATCTTATCCCTCTCTTCTTTTGTTCTAAAAGTAATCAGACAGTCTCTCACTTTCTTTTCTCCTTTTCTCCCAAGTCTAAATGCGTTTACTATTTTGAAACTGTCTTTTGCCAGTTCTGGATCCCAAAAGTCCAAAAATTCCTGCGTGAGAAATTCAGCTAAATTGTCCTTTTCCACCTCTAGTACTGACCTGACCCGAAGATTCACTTGCTTCTCCCTCAAATCTATCATAGACAGAGTTAGTTTATGGTCTTCCAATTGTTTATGCAATGTTGGTAGTTCCTCTTGAACCTCCTTGACATCCGTAGCAGAAGTTGTAGCAATTTCTTTGGCCTCTTCAGCAATCTGGCGAGTTGCGGCCGATTCCTCTAATAATTTCTGAATAGTCTCAGTGTTGGTATTTACTTTTTGGCCCAAATTATTTATACTTGCTGTATTTTGATCAATCTTCTCACAAGCCTCTGCTACTTGTTGACTTATTTTACTCAAAGATTCATTAACTTTGGCCAAAACTTGAGCAAAGGCTTCTTCACTTGTCGAGCTTTTTACCTTTGATTGTGCCGATGAGGCTGTTGTTGAGGTTCCGGAAAGGCCTGAGACCGAAGCTCTCCTTTGTAATCCTTCTTCTATGCGAATATTCCTCCCCGATCTTGTAGTCGAAGCCTCCGTCTTCTCTTTATCTGCCATTCCTTAGATAATTCTCAAGGTCAGACACGTAGTTAGAATTGTACAGTGCACAGTGGAAATTTCCTTCCAAATAGTGTGAGAACTCCTCCAGCCTGCTACAGTTACAGTTGTAATAAGTTGCAACAGTTCCAGGTTCCACTAGGGGGACACTGTAACAGTCCTAAAAGTTCTTGGTTACTTTAATTTCCTTTTTAAGTCCCCCTAGTTTGTTTAACAGGGAATCAATCTATCACAGTTTTTCAACTTAAGACCAGGAGATATATATTCACAAGATCTTATCCAGATTTTTTAACCAATGCAGGACTAGCTGTCAAAATATATTACAAGACAGTACCTTTTTTTCCCCTAGGATCTGGAGAATCCTTTCCCAGGAAGTTGAGTGATGGTTTAATCTCTTCTTTTCCACTCTTTAAAAAGAAATCACCTCCAAAGATCTCCCCCTATTTTCCCTCAGTTTATAGAGGGAAAAGTCCAGTTTCAGTGATTGGATTAAAATCCTCTAAAAACGTCCTTTCCAAAAGCTTCCGTTTTCAAGTTCAATGCTTTAAGTCTATCTACAATAGAAGGAGGTTGACTTCCTTTTTAAACCTCCTCCGTTTTCAGCCTGATTTCAGATTTAATTTGTACAGTTCCAATTTGAATAAATCCTACTCACGGATCGTTGCTTTTCAAGTCCGGATTTCAAGAAAGAAAGGCAGCGCTCTCCGATTGACAGCTTGCGGCTTCACTCCACGAACGAGCAGACAGCCCACAGCACCGCGCTCTCCCCCGCTCCGATTTCAAGCCCGTTTCTGGGCTGTTTGCCGGGGTGGGGGGGGGAACACCAATTGTGCCCGCTGGGTCCCAGGTTCACAGGCTTCCCCGCCTGTGATTTTTAGGGGTCCCCCGCTGCGCCGAAGCAGGATCCGACCCTTTTTTCGTGGGGCTTATTCCCTCCGATCGAGGGAATCCGCCATCAATCGCTGGCGCCGCCTCCGGAAGTCCCGTAAATGATTTTTTAATAGTTGTAGTAGAATGTGTATATTATCCCTTTTAGAAGAATCACAACCAGCAATCCAGCCTGTGTCTTTTCCCTAACATAAGGCCATATCTGCCCTATATATTTAGAATATTAAAATACCACTTTAAAAGTTCTTGGCTTCCCTCAAAGCATCCTGGGAACTGAAGGGAGAGGGGAGCTGTTAGCAAGCCTCTATTCCCCTCACAGAACCACAGTTCCCAATCAATCCCTCTTCCCAGGCAACTCTGCAAATGGTAGCACTGTGAGGTGCATACAGATCACCTAACACCCTTCTCAGCACCCTTAACAAACTACAGCTCCCAGGATGTTTTGGGGGAAAACCATGACTGCTTAAAGTGGCATGATAATGCCTTCAATGTACAGTGGTAAATTGGGTTAAGTACTTAATTCGTTCTGGAGGTCCATTCTTAACCTGAAACTGTTCTTAACCTGAAGCACCACTTTAGCTAATGGGGCTTCCCGATGCTGCCGCGCCACCAGAGCACAATTTCTGTTCTCATCCTGAAGCAAAGTTCTTAACCCGAGGTACTATTTCTGGGTTAGCGGAGTCTGTAACCTGAAGCGTCTGTAACCTAAAGGGCATGTAACACAAGGTACCACTGTATAGCACAGCTGGGGCCATGAAATTCCCTGTGCCCTTCAAAAATCTTCAAAGAAAAATATTCTATAGACTTATGAAGCAATTGTCGCTGATGGATAATTTTCATAATGTGAAACCTAAAACTGTTACTTCCTTCCCGTCCTATTTTTCTAACACTTCTGGGGTTAAGACTTTAATTACAGACACCACAGAGAGCAGATGATCATGCCAATGAAACTTTTGCAAGTCTGAATATTCACCTCATACTTCTACCTCTATGTTCATTTGCCACCATAAATTATTTAAATCAATATTGCTAGCCAGATCCTTTTCTCTCCCACAAATGTGGTTTTTCTCTGCCCACCTGTCAACCCTCCTCGCAGGGTCCCAAGATGGCCACATTTGTGGTGGGTGGGCAGCAGTTAGACTTTTGAGTGGGAGCCAAGTTTGGTTTCCAACCACAGCTGGCAACCACCATATTAATGCACCCAAAATACATATACAGATAAATGTAATTAAGTGCTTTCTTTTGTCCCTCTTAAATCTGCTGCCATTCAGTTTCATATGAATTGCCATGTGAAGAAGCAGCAGCAAACTGGAGGCAGGAAATAACAATAACCTGCAACACCCTTCACCCACACAGCTTTTCTTTGTTGTGCTATGGCAGCCCACAATCGTTTTATAATTCCAGGTACTGGGGTGTGCAACATTTCAATTTTTCAATTTCAATATGATCCTACCTTAGAGATTTCCATCATATGTAGGAGGTGGTAGCCTTTTTATGATGACCTTTTGGAGTCTGCAAATTAAACATTCTAGTCACCGCTGCTCATACCCTTATCACCACGAAATAGTTTGCTGGGGTGGGTGCAGGGGGGAAAGAAGAATCAGCTTTTGCAAGCTAGTTTGGCCATTTGCCGCTTCACAGTGTAATTGTGCATGACTCTCCCTCATTAGACAGCAGTATTTACCTCTGGGAAATGGGGCTTTGCAGAACAAGATGAATTAAATTGAAACTTTGGCAAATGTTGCTGCATTTGGCAGCTCTGAAATAAATGAGCACTTTCTCTGTAATTTGGTAGGGCTGGGAAGGAACAAGCAACGCCTGGGCTTTTTCTGATAGGCTCCAGAATGTACATTATTAGAGGGTCAGCT